TGGTCATTGGGACACACTGGTGATCAGTGAGTGGTCATTGGGACACACTGGTGATCAGTGATTGGTCATTGGGAACATCAGTTTGTGAAATTGCAACTCAGTCAGGCTGACACATTGGTGATTGGTCATTGGGACACACTGGTTATCATTGATTGGTCATTGGGACACATTTGTGATCAGTGATTGGTCATTGGGACACACTGGTGATCAGTGAGTGGTCATTGGGACACACTGGTTATCATTGATTGGTCATTGGGACACATTTGTGATCAGTGATTGGTCATTGGGACACATTTGTGATCAGTGATTGGTCATTGGGACAGACTGGTTATCATTGATTGGTCATTGGGACACATTGGTGATCAGTTTTACCCACTGGTGGTGAGTCAAGTGAACCTGCTTTGTCAACTCGTACCGCCAGCAGCTGTGATGTGAACGCGAGAACCATATCGCGAGCAGGCCAATCGCTAACATTTGCTCAAAAATTCTCTAGATTTGTTGCAAGATTCTTTTTTTTTTTTAAATAAAGTGGTCACTAAAGGGGTCTAAAAAGTCAAATACTTAGCTGTTTAGTTAGTTTTACTTTTGAGTATGTCACTTAATATAAGCTGTTAGCTATGTAATGAAGGAATGAGAAGTTAAATATCCCTGATTCTGTATCAAATTATCACTGACCACTTGACTTGACTTTTTTGACTTAAAGTACATTTGGCTGGATGAATGATGTTAGCTGTCATTTTCAAAGCTCTTGCAGAATACAGAAACATGGCAGGGATCTGATTAATAGAGGGGCAGGTTCTTTATCAGTACTAGAATAGTGAAAGCTACAGCTTATTCCTACAAAAACCATCAGCTATACAGTAGAATAGTCTTGAAATGTTTGTTACTCAGACACAGTCTAAATATTATGTTAAAAATCTCTTCTCTTAGATAATGATCCAGATCTGGGGGTTTATGAGAAAAGAGAGCTTTGGTACACTGGGATGTTTTCATGCTGTTGCAGATGGTGGGATTCTGGTGCCAAACCTTTACTCATGTTTGGTCTGAACACTGATTTAGCTGAAAAAAAGCAAAAAAGTTTAGTTTTCAGGTGTCTCCTGTATTAGTGGCTAAACCGTAGATTTTGGCACCTCTAGGTGCGCAATTATTACCTCTCACAAAGGGAATTCTTATGACATTGGCATATTTAAGGTGTGAATTCCACATCATTAGAGAAATAACTCCTCATAAACAGCTATGGCAATTTGAGTCCTTAAGTCTTTAAGAAATTTGCTATGGTGTCATTCAGATGCTGGTTATGTTCTATAGCTTATTTGTATGCGCATACCACACACAAGCCTTATTCCCTTAGCCCTGAGATGGCCCTGCTTATGATTCACAGATACAGCTAACACAATATTTCTGGTCATCCATCTTACTATCAATATAATATACTTAACTGAGTTTTATTTTAAATACAAAAATAACCATGAACATCGCAGAATTCACATTTCCTTCCATCAAGTGGCTAGAAATAGATAATGCTGACGAGCCATGAGCCGAGAGCTCAGCCTCCTGGAGGAGCTGAATACACTTTTCAGTCCCATCTACCTCTGACACTCAGGACTGGGCGCTATACCTTATTTTAAGGTATACCAGTATTGATATATTCACTTAAAGGTGTGCATTTTTATGGTACGCATACCTTTATGAATGGTATTTTTCCCTTACATTCTAAAAATTGCTCATTACAATTCAGCAAACAAATTTGCGCCATACTGTATACTTATATATGATATATGTAATTTCATATCCCAGTGTGGTGGCACATCGATAGACCAAATCAGCATTATGTCACAGCAAAAAAGAAGTTAATTCTGGGTGGATAACTCCAGTAGTACTGCACTGGTATAACGGTATTATATTTGCATTGGTATAACAGTTTTTTTTTACAATAGTTTTTCAACCAAGATAATGAAAAAAAGAACAATTTCAGTGATCTTGTATTAGATATCAAAATACATAGATATCATGCACCTGTAAATATTCATATTAAGAAACTCAATGGCCATAATGTTGTTTTTTGTTAATATTAGCAAACCTGTAAGTTATTATGGTTCAATTTGGCCATTAAAGTCTACTTTTATAAATTGTTCTTCCCATGTCGATCACAGTTAACAGGGCCATGTGTGTTTAGCATTGACACTTTACGACTTATTTTAAGCTATTAAAAACTGTCATTGATCTTGTTGTATTACTGTATTATAGAATAATGATAGTGATTTTAGAAAACTTGCTCATGCAGTCACGAGAGAGCTGGCTGCAGATAAAGGTCAACTCTGAATAAATATAAACAGTTTATTATGGGTGGATGATTTTTACACATGCAGTGAATCTACAATTTAACATGTCAAATGAGGGAGGAAGTAAGAGTGCATAGAGGACAAGATGTCATAAAAAAACAGCAAGAAAACAAGAAAACAAATCTCACTGCGGACAGACAGGGGGTAAAAGCTGGAAAAGAGAATGAAACTAAACCTAATCGGCTGTGTACAAGGATCTATTTGACATTGCAGCCTCAAACACAAGAAGATTTCACAATGTTTTGGTTCAGTCTCTTACACTCATATTTACTATGACCTAAACCACCTCCGCTGTTGAATGTGAAATCCTTCACCCTCCCGAGTTGGTAGCTGTCATATGATAGAAGAAAGTTCACTGGAATTGACCAAGACTAATTTTTTCTAATAAATAAATAAAATAAAAAATATATATTGTCGGCTGTGGTAATATAGCCCAGGGGGCAGTCGTGGCCTAATGGATAGCGAGTTGGACTTGCAACCCGAAGGTGAACCTGAAGGTTGTGGGTTCGAAAAAAAAAAGGCTGCCCACTGCTGTGTGTGTGCGTGTGTGTGTGTGCGCGCGCACTTGGATGGGTTAAATGCAGAGCACAAATCCCTAGTATGGGTCACCATACTTGGCCACAAGTCACTTCACTTCACTTCACTTCAGTTGTACCTACATAGGCATAGATTCATCAATCCTTTGGTTCTTATTCTAATAGGATATGAGGAGAAGAAAGAAGAGGAGCTAGAGTGAATCAAGAGAGAAGAAAAAAGTGGCATGTCTAGGCAGTTCTTCTGACTTGTGAGGGATGTTGCAGTGTTGTTTTGTGAAGGAGTATATAAATATACTGTAACATTGTAACATGAATCCAGACCGAGAAAAGAAACATCATATTAGACGAAAAAATTAAAACAGAATACATAAGCATAACATAATTGCACTATAAGTACGCCACAACATAAATTTATGACTTTTTTATAATGATGTTCTAATTTCCTTCATTAAAAGTTTAGAGATTAGACTAATTAAAAACAATAAAAAGAAGTCATTAACTCAAGTTTGAGACGAGTCTCAGCGAGATCCATCAAAAGTTCAGCTTCATGGGATGGGGTGAAATTTAATAACTATAGTTAATTATAATCATCATTTATATAGCACATTTCATGTTAAAATCCAAAATCTCAAAGTGTTTTGTACAGAAAAGATGAAAAGATTAAATGCATTGTTGATAATTGCTCATTAAAATAAAATCATAACATCTACAGTGAGATAACTATTAATAAAAAATAAATAAATAAATAAATAAAGTACCCAACATCTATGAATAGGCCATGTTAAGAAAGCATGTCTTGAACACTCCTCCAGGGTGAAGAGCTGGCATTTTAATGGTTAAAACATTGGACTACCAATCAGAAGGTCGTGAGTTCAAATCCCAGCGCTGCCGAGCTGCCGTTACTCTCTAGCAACAGGACGAGCAGATCATAAAAGAGCACTTCTCCATTCAGGTGGGTAACTTACTGCAGATGTCAGCGCTAAATGAAAATCATAGAGAGCAGTGATTTTTTTCCTCAAAATATATGTTGGGTTGAGTGTAACTGTTGACTCAAAACAATCGAAAAAGTGAGTGTAAAGTTCTAAAGTCTTGTCCTGACAATGGTAAAATCAATACATTGCACAAATTATATGACTACAATTTAGCATTTTACATATTAATTTATTAATAATGCTGTACTTACAACTTTGAGATTGCATTTGATGCACCATCTTAAGGTAACAGCTCTCAACATACACACTACTGCCTTGAAGCACGGGCGTGTCCATTAGCAATATGGGCAGATCCGAGACGGGCGCACTGTCCGATCCAGTGCACATGCATGGGCTCCAATTTTTTGCAAGATGCGATTTGCCATTAGACTAAAAAGACTTCAAAACCACATAACGGAAGTAAATAAAGCCATTGTCTTTATACACAGGCATTGTAACAGTAGGAATGCCACCACTGAGCAAAGTGTTTGTTATAGGCAGCACTTTATTGTCAGTGTGGGACTTAATACGGCAGCCAGTGTAGCTTGAGTAAGACTGGGGTAATGTGCCCTGACTTTCTTTTCCTGGTAAGGACACGGGCTGCTGAACTTAAAGTGGCAGTAGGGCAGCCAGCCAGCAACACATTGCAATAGTGCAACAAAGGTTATGAAAGCATGCACTAGTTTCTCAGCTAGAGTAAGTTTTATTTTGGATATGTTGGAGAAAAGCCAGCCTGACTGGTTGTATACATTTTGCATGTAGAGAAATTGCAGTGATTGAGTTTGCGGTTATTGAAAAATGACCCGTGTGTATTTGAAATATGTTACACTTATCCAAATGGGAAGATTCATGCTGTCTTGGTCAAATTTTTTTGCATACATACAGAATAACATATAAGGAAGCAATTCATCCTTCATCACTACTTGCGAAAACTGCTGCCTTTTGACAGGTTTAAGCCAGGTTCAAGTGCAAAAATATTCCGCTTAGTGTGAATTTCCAGCACACCACAGAGAGAAAGATTAGCAGTCACATCAGAAAGAGGGAAGAGAGTGAGAGAGAGACAGCATCAAGACTTTTAAGTCTTGAGACGTGCAGCTATGCATCGCTAAGCTTTGCTTTTCCAGCTACCTTTCAAAGAAAAGAGCAGTGGAAGCATTTTCATTGGTGTTTTGAATCAACATTTTTTTTTTTTATTTTATAAGCACTGGTTAGCAGTGTGACAGCTGGCCTGGGTGTAAATGCACCAGCTCGTGTGTTAAATCGGCCTTGAATAATCTATGTATGTCAGTTTATTTTCATTCTCTCCTCTCTTACTTTCTGCAAGTTTCTGTCCATCACAGACTCACAGAAAAACATCCCATTGTTTTCGGCTTTTGTCTTGCGTTTATTCATGACTTTCCTCGTAGCTATACTTAGATCAGATCATATTTGAAGGGCAGCACCATGCTGATGTGTATTAAGACAGAAAAGAACTCCTTGCCATTCTCTTTTCTTCTGTTCTATTGAATCTCTTACAAAATTAAGCTCCTGACATTTCCGCTTCCAGTTTTCAGCAAAAAAACAAGCAGTCTGGTTTTGCAGGGAAGATTAGGAAATGCGCCAGGCAATACCAACTGGTCATAAAATACAGTGCAGAGTCCTTCAATTAAACAGTGAGGTCCATTTTGTAGTAACTTCAAATCTAATTCCAAACTGCAGTCCTAAATAAAACAATTTCTTTAAAGGCCACTTCTAACCAGAAATTGAAAAGTGGGTGGGACTGGGTAAAAGAGGATGGGCAAGGGAGTGCAAAGAAAACTCAAATGCCAGCAGTCACTCAAAAGAACTTAAAATATTGCAGAACATGGCTGACAAGTTGAAAGGCTACTCAAGAGGTTCGTTGTTTTTCCAGGCCATTAAAATTAGAGATTTTTACTGTTCTACTGTTTTAAATGTGCTTTTGACATTTCGGGACGCCAACTAGAATTTAATTCCCTAGGACTCTTTTTACTCTCTTACTAACTACAGCTTAAGTGTTAACATTTGCAGGTCTATCAATTCCAATGTAACTTTCCTATAGGCTATGTAGGCTTATGACGTTAAATTGCGAGGGAACATCTAATCAGTGAAATTAGAACAAAATATTGTTTCAGAAGAAACAGAAAAATAGCACATTTTTAGGTAAGATTTCATTTAAAACTATTAGGAGAACCATGATAACAGTTTGTCAGATTAATCTTTGGCTCCAGCAACTTTTAAAATAGTGTTATTCAAAACTGCCTCATCAGATTTTTATTAAATCATTTAACTCACACACAAACCTACAGAAAAAGCCTTCAGATTTCTAACAAAAACTCTAATCGAAAAGAAAACTGGCCTCATGTAATACCTCTGAGTAAAAATAACGTGTACAGTACACAGCCATAATTTTGTCAAACGTTTATATTACAGTTAATTATTTTGTTGATTTTGTTTTATTGTTGCACCATGCATTCCTCCACGAACTGCAGTTCTTCAACTTTCGGATGTGTCCGATCTCCACTCTGACGGGGCATCTCAGTGTCACCAGAAACTGAAATACATTTCATGTTACTATATCCTCTGATCTTTGGTGAACGAGTGGCAGTGGGAAAAGGTACTGCATGGCATCCGGTCCAGGAAGGTAAACTCTTTACTGAACTAGCCTGTTACATGGCTACACATCCCACAGTTTACACCAGGTGCTGAGCAATGTCACTCAATGCAGCTACTTAAAGTTGAAGCACCTAGTTACAAGGTCGCTTTTGTGGGTGGGTCTGGGTGTACCCATTTGGATACCTGGCCCAAACAAAAAAGCGATCTTGTAGCTAGGGGCTACACTGCAGCCTTGTTAACACTAGTCGCAAAAAAAAAAAAAAAAAACGGTTCTCGCTTGCTAGGAGCTACAGCTTTAAGTAGACGCACTGAGTGACACTGCTCAGCAACTAGTGTATACTTTTCCAGGTCATCCTGTAGCTTTGCTACTGGTGAGCAGGATTAAAAAAACAGTCCATATCTCAAGTTGGAACCAATTTAGAACTCGAGTGTTGTAGCTGAGTTTGAGGAACTAAGAGAACAAGAATTCACAGACCATGCTGATGGTGTTTTCCAGTGTTTCTGGGGGCAGAATGGTAGCGTTTGTATTTAATTTAAAAAAAAATTCAATACTGAACACATACAGATGAATGAGACAATGACATTGCTACTATAAAGACTGAAATGCCAATTTGAAAACTCTGTACTCAAGTATGCTTTAGCCTACATAAATAACACTTATTGGCAAAAATCTTATTGGTAAACAAGCTGCTCATACAAAGGTATCCTCACCATGTTATACCAGACGTCCTGATGTCCTGTTACTACTTGTGTACTATTAGAATTGTTGAATCTGGATCCATTTTTGTATGAATATGTTCCTGAGATGCTGTGACCTTTACCACACTTTTGTTCCTTTTGCTTTGCTTTGCTAGATATGTTGCTGCTTGTTTATATTTTACTGGCGTACTGGCGCCCAGGTATCTGTGAGCATGTTCTGATTAAGTCAAGGTCAAGTGCAAATAAAGGCACGCTACAGCCAAACAAGTCATGTGTGGGTCACAGTTTATCTCTCTTTGGTTAATTAAAAAAGCAACCCCCACCACAGTGCTGATTGTCTGTCCATTTATAGAAGCACTGTAGATTTTATACATCAAACTCTAATCAATGGTGAGTCAGCCAAGGTGCTACAAAAGACCGGACCTGACTCAAGACATTTTCAAGCTGCAACTGTAGAAGAAGAAGATCGAAGCTGTCATTTTGATGAACCAATATCCAAGGTCCAAGCGTTTGTGAGTTTGGGCCCCTGTGATATCATTCACATACTCTGGTGAGTTGGTAAGTTTAAAGGGTTTAAAAGGTTTGGTTTTACTGTTTTGATGTATTACTTTGTGATTGATTACTCTTAATCACAGTGACACTAGCCAACTGTGGCCATCTGTGAAATCATGTATGCGGAAGAGGGTAGATAGCACTTTCCTTCAAGTGTGTTATGCCGTGACACTGCATGAGCAGCAGATCAAAAAGAAGTGGTTGGCTGGTTTGACATGACTCATAGGAAGCATGTGTTAGCCTTCTCACATGCTTTCTCAGAGACACATCAAGCCAGCCAACCACATCTTTCAGACCACACTATAAACTAGTGTTTAGCATGTAAGATCAGAAATGATCAGTGATTCATGGTAAAAGCGCATATGAAAGATCAACATCAGGAAAATCAAGCTAGAACTGAGGAGAAAGCTTTGCAGTCTAAAAAAATCGAATTAGCTGAAAACCACAGATATAACACAAAGGTTAGAGGAGAGCATTCAGATGTCAGAGAAAGAGAGATGGAGAGAGAGGATGTGTGCTCCCTCTAAGCCATGTCCAGAACTGAAACAAAACTGTTTTGAGGCTTTGGGACCCTATGCAAACACACTGAGAATCACTCTAGCCAATCAAAGAAGAACAATCTTTCAGTAATCCTGATGCTGAGGAAAACTTCAAGCAATCCACATGTGCTCCATGCAGACTCTCCACTGGTGTTCCACAAGGCTCAGTGCACGATCCTCTTGTATTCTATCTCTATACCTGCTCTCTCGGTGAGGTTATCCTCACATGGGTTTTCATACCATGCCTATGCTAATGAAAGTAAATTTGGTGTTCCACAAGGCTCTGTTCCAGTTCCACTGCTTTTTTCCCTATATATGTTACTTCTGGGTATGGTAACTCTATGTCACTGATTTGTATGTTCTATTTTATGCTCTATGTTATGTCTTCTCTTCTCTTCTCTTTTTTTCTCTTCTCTTTTTTCTCTTCTCTTAGCACTATCTCCCTATCTTTTCTTGATCACTCTCGCTTAGTGATTTAACAGCTGGCTTTGGTAATGGGCCACCACCAGGGACATTC